GATATAACTACAATGCATGGCACTTAAATAAGCAATTTTGGCGCTTTTTGATGTTATGAGTGCAATAATATTCAGGGGGGTGGGAATTAGGGCTCCCAACAGACAGCGTTTTATTTTCGTTGATTAGTCATCTGCCATTAACCAATTTATTGATTACATTTGATTACGCTGATATAATGCCAAAGATTCAACACTGAGCAAAGTGTAAAATAATGCTCAATTTTACAAACAAAAGCAAGTAGCAACATACCAGAGCTATTGCAGTAACATACCAGAGCTAAATTGTCTCATAAAATAAACAGGTTGGGTCCTAACTCTTGGACCTACCAATTAATTTTTTTTGCTCCCCCAACTGATTAGTCGCTTAAAAAATCAAAATCTTTTTACAATTAAACTAGCAAAACCTTGAAGCCTAGAAAATACTCAACAGTCTGCCACGTATCTACTTGGGAATAAATAAGACCACCTAATGTCACTGATACCGGCTTTGAAACAAGAAGTGCAGAAGTGTTTAGAAACAGAACACCAGAAGGCGAGTGCTGTGGATATTTTTGTGTCAGATAATTAAAATGTAGCATTTGTCCTTCAGCTTCATTGTGGAACAGATACTATTGCTATTACTTTTCTCTTAGAAATGAGAGGGGGCTGATTTTCTCTAAACTGACTAGGCAAACATCATTATAGATCGGAATCTACACAAATGAGCCTTCACAGAAGTATAGAATATGAACCAGTGATAGTAACGAAGTTGTTTACTAGCTGTACAGTATATTGTAAAATTGTCATAGAACTAAAAAGTAAAACAATTTATTTGTTTAAAACCTAAGCACTATCTCTGCCTTATTTATAACACTAATTTACCAAATTTGTACGTATGAAGTGAAACTGGATTCTGCCCTTTGCTACTGATGGCATCAGTATAAAACAAGAGAACAGTGCACAATAGCATAGTAAAGTCGCGAAGGTTCATGCAAGCCTTATCCTATTCACTGAACTTTTAGATTTAAGCCTCAGAAAACTATCCTTTCTATGATAATAAAAGCTTAAAAACAGTATTAACTATAAAGCTTAAGAAAAGGAGAATGAATTAGTACTCAGAGGCTGATCTACTTCAGCTTACAATTCTAATACATATTTACTTTTCATATTAACTTTTTTACAATTACTGTACTAGTGTCTATGTTTCATACATATTTTTCGTTTTTCTAAAGTAATGAGACTATGGAGGCCAGAGAAAATAACTGCACACTTCGCTGTTTAGTTTTCTGGGCCACACAACAAATGGACATTTGGGGATAGTGATTACTAGCAATTTAAACCAGCATTTTGTTCCCTAAGTTACTTACTCCACAGTCATACATCAGAAAAAGCTTGAATCCCTTATATTGCAAATGGCCAATTCTTTCTCAGACCACTCTTAGCCAAATATATGTGACAGTTCATATCCATACATATGGCCAAGGCAGTTCAATAAGTCCATACATATTATGTTTGGAGAACAAGATAAAAGATTCAGCCCCTGCCACCCTGGATACATAGTTAAGAAAGCTCAACCATGGCTGGTGTTATGTTGCAATTAACAAACCACAGCCTGAGAATAGCCTACAAACAAGAATATGAAATAGGGCTTCACTTCATGATTTGCCCTAGCTATGGTTTGGTGTGATGTCTGGATTGAAAAACCACCTCTAGAGGTCACTACTCTTAGAGGCTGGAGTGATGAGCAAATTAAAGTAGGCAACAGCTCCACACCACTGTATGGTTCTCAACTACAGGCACAAACCAAGGTTTGGTCCAATGTCTAAACTGAAGCATATTGTCACCATAATTCTATATTATGTTAGACATATGCATACCGGAGTAAGTTCCCAGTATATGTGTTTAGGGTTGAAGTACAGATAGTGTTTAAAGGAGAATGTTGCAACTAATTCATATGGCCATTTTTAAAAGAGCCAAAGTGGTTTAGAGTACCGGAGTTGGATGAGGGAGGTGTAAACATAAATTCTGCTCCGCCATAAAGCTGAACAGAAGGTAGCTTTCAACAAGTCACTCTTTCTCCCTCAGTCTAACTTACCTCACAGGGTTGTTGAGGATAAATTGGAAGAGCTGTAGGCACACATCCTTAAGTTTTGTGGAGGAATAATATATCAATGTGATAAAATAGTATTTTACCAATGCGATAAAATAATATTTTCAGAAGTCTGAGAAAGAATTATTTTTCTTTCCAAAATTAAAATCCATATGCTGATACTTTACAACTATTTCTCCAGATTACCTTTGACCCAATCACTTAGGTAATAGGAAATGAATGGAAAACTAAATTCCATGTTGTGCTCTTATTACTGAGACTGTATTTACCTTTTAATTTCTAGTCTACTGGCACCAAAATGAGAGATGCTTCTTCAAGCCTATTTAAAATGAGAGATAATGAAACTGATTTTTTTTAAACTGCTTTTACAATACTTCTAATAATCATCATAATTTTCAAAAGATTTTTATTAAAGTTTCATCTGAAGTAAGCTCTTAATACTGGAAATGTTTCTCGTGATTCATAATATCTCACTAACAGGAAAGGTGCATCGATTTTGGAGCACAGACAGTTTATAGAAATTAGATGATTCTAAGGATTCCCTACTTACGTTCTACAAAAGGTTAACAGAATTCACTTTCATTAAAGGTTTAGAATCATAATGTGCAGCTTACTCTGCACATTCTAATGAATTTCACGATCATCTAAAAGTACGTATCTTTAGTCAATCCATTGAGACGTACCTATAAATACTGTTTTACACTGAAACAATCATCTGCAAAAAAAATTGTACAAAAGAAAAGAACAGGGCATATTGAGGGTTCTGAAAATTTAGAACAGGAAATAAAAGAATGCAATAATGTATTACACAGTGATGCAGTTTGTAATTAGTTTTTTCTCCTGCTTTTTGATTATTCAAATCAAAATCCCCATGGAGCCAGCCTTTCCCATCAATTTTAAAAAGAATTTGCTCGTGTCTTTGATGGAAATAGCCCATAACAACATTTTTTGCCTTAAACATTCAAATGCTGCTTATACATGTCTCTCTAGGACAAGTTTAAACTCTGATCATATTCAGTACTCACAACCCTATCTTTTTATTTAAAAAAAGCCAAAAAGATGTCTATTTCAATTAACAGGAATATACTTTTGAAATTACCTGTTAATTTACAGTGCACTATTTCATCTCAAATTTTTGATTAGCTTATTCTGAGAAAGTTTCTTACATTCTGATTGTAAACTAGTTTGGGTTCGGTCTATGTGAGAGATTCAACGAGTTGATGTGGAGAGAATATATCTGTATTCATGTCATACGCAGCCAAATCCACAGCCATAGTTCAGTCAAAATATTTGGATTAAAGCCAATGAGAATCTAAGGTGTGCCTGGATTGTGGACCGGGTTCTAGACAGGGAATGTCAGTGAAAACTGGTACTCCAGTAATTCCAGTTACCTGCATGGAGCAATACTACTATAAGTAGCTACCAAATTGCCTTTAAGGGTCAAACGTTTAGGTAGAAAGCAATTCATTCCTATATGAAACATATACATCTCTGAAGAGGGAGATGAGAGATGGAGGAAAGGAGGGAGGAAGAGGGGGGAGCCAATGTGCCCCCAATTTTGGCATATTTCCCCCTGCGTACAAAGAGGTTTAGCACACCATGTCCCAGCATCTACTAGAGCAAGCTGTATTTGTGCAGTTTGCAAGCAGTACAAGTTCTCCATTAGAATCAGAAGGGCCTAACAGAAATGCAACAGGGACTGTATGCTTTCCCATTATTAAGGAATAATCCTACATGTTAAGAACAAAGAAGAACCAAAATCCTAAAATATGCACTATTTGCAGGGAGTAGTACAAATGTCACACCTGCTTTTACTTGCCGCTGCTGGCCATGCAGTGTTTGAATTTTGAGGACAACGCTCGCTTACCCTCAAGAGCCAACTTTGCTTTTTCTTATTCCCCTACCTGCTCTCAAATATTTTTATGTGTACAGGCATGAAAGGCCGTCCGGCTTATGTTCCTGTATTTCCTAAAATAAATGGCACAGAAAACTATTCTACTCTGAGTAAGCTTTGTCTCCGTATTCTAATTTTGCAAACAAGACCCTTTACAATTATCATTTACACAGACCATGACAATTTACGTACAATTTAAAATAGTATTCTCTGAGGAAATCCTGTTCTTAATGCTAATTTTGCTTCCCACGGCATCTTAAACTTTTATGTCAATTTCACAATGGGCATTGGTTATCAACAGGGTAATTTGTTTTTGTAGTATGATAAATATTTTTACTGTTGTCATTAATAAGCTTTACATGACTTATTCACCTGCTGTTAGTTGTAAACCAAGGAACTACAGAAACATTGGTATGGATTCAAAAATGGTAATGCATGGAGGAGATGCTTCACAAGCAATGAGACTTAAGTTGGTCATGACTAACTTAAGACCCACCGATCTCAGTGAGTCTACTCAGAGGATAATTTAAGTTCAATTCACTATGCATTATTTCTACACTATTCAAAGTGATAAATGAATTGCAACAAAGTGAATCCATTCAGCATACAAATGATGAAAAATCTTACATTAATTTTGAAATACTCATTTTCCCCCAAAGGAAAAAAATCCTTACTAGCAAACTTGAAGATACAATGAAAATAAAAGCTTTAAAACGGAAAACAGGCTCATGCAAGTATAATATACCTTAAACTATGGATATTAGCCAGTTTTCCAACTAATTAAACTTTCTGATTCTCAATGGCTACTCAAGTAAAGATCGGCAGGTTGTACACATTCAGATCGTCGGAATGACAAAGTATTTTTCCGCAGTGTTTTCAAACATAACTTTACTTATCAAAATCTATTTTGTGTCAGTATAAAAGCTCAGTTATCTTTTAATGTGCATGTTCCTTAACTGAACAGCTATCAACATCTAATATCATTCATTCACTATAGATAATTAATACTACTCTTTCGCTTTAGCTATGTTATCTCTTAAAATAAACATCACATTAAAAAATAACTTTTATTTTCTCTCAAATTAATTCTTTTTAACTCTTTTTATGATAGCTTTGAATCCCATAAAGAAAGATGAATTATCACATACTGATCCCAAGCTGTGAAACAGGAGGAGACAAATAGAGACCCCTACTGTGTTTAACAACGTAGAAGAAATTCCACACTCAATAGAAAAATTTCTACCCTTTTTCCACAGGCCACATAAACTGATAATATGAATGTGAACAGTGGAGGGCACTCTTGCTATGCAAAACTTTGCGTTGACCCGGTATACTTTTTTTTATCTATTCAGTGGCCTAAATTTCACTATTTAACAGCCACCTGTGGCACAGTCACTAACTGCTTTCTGCTTAAAACAAATGCAACATTCAGCCAGCCACTAGGCTAGGGCATTTCTTTGCACATATAAAGAACACAGCAAGCACTTTACGTTTTGTTTTGACTAACTGCAAAACTGTAAGTATCATATATTAAAATGTTAGCAGTGTATTTTTAGAAGCAGGTGGAAAGCAATGATGCAGAATGATCTGGCGAAGTTTAAATACTGCACGTATTCAGTTTTACCAGGATTTGTAATTCGTTGCGAGCTAGCTCGTGTTTCCAGTACCCAAACACAGGTGACACAAACTTTTATTAAGAGCTAATACAACATTAAGGTTTAATTGCTGATGTGTATCAAGTGACAAATTATTAAATACTGCATAGCAGGAGTCTAAAAAATGTAGGAGATCACTTTTTAATGTGACTTTCCAGCTTCTGATACTGTTCAGAAAACAAAAGCTAACATCTAACCCATTTTGACGCTTACAAGTTTGAGAGCACGAGAAACGGAATACCAGTTTGATAACATAGAACCTTCTGTAGAAACATATCTACTCCTGCCACGCTGACAGCATCGTAGCTATTTGCATAAGTGCATGGTTGCAATATCAGGCCTGAACTCCAGCCTTGAAATATAACGGTATCTCACCGATCTAGCTCTCCACAGATAACTATTCTATATAAATAAAGTAATATAACCACTAACAAACCAATTGGGTCAGTTGCCATCATCCTTGTGAAACATTAATATGCATAGAAAGTGAGATGGATGACCAACAAAGTCGCTTCGATTAAGCAAAATAAAACTGCATCAGCTCTGGCAAGGTTAATTAAGGAATTCAAAGCTACATAAAACAAGGCTCGCCCCCCCCCACTTCTTTAGAACTGTAAACACTTGTGTCGAACTAGATGGGGCATTTGATAAGCTGCACAGAATGTAGCAAAAACTCAGACGGATCTCTAGTTAACACTCAGAGTCGGTGTTAACACTTAACAGAACAAGTGGTAAGCCGCGCTGCCAAGGTCAACTGCACAGATGTACTAATTGTATTATGAGCTTGACATCTAGTGGCCACCCCTGGCAGGGCAAAGCAGGCAAAGGTTAAATCAGCAAACCTTGTCAAAGCACTTCTAACTACCCACCCTCAGGGAGAGTCCATCAGAAAGCTTGCTGGCACTCCACGCAATCCCACCTTTTCACCGACAACGAACAAAAAAAGACTCTGTAATACACTCAGCACCAAAGCACGGAAAACAGATAATGGGGGTGGTCTCGAATGCTAAACATAACATATCTACATCTTCAACACAAGGAGAAGGAAAGCATTCCTTTGCAAAATATGCAGACCTCTTATTGTCTCTCATCGGTGCATATTGTTCTATCCTTAGCTCAGCAGTCAAAACTTTTTTACAAGAACTGCTTTTGAGTTCTGCTTAGGTATTGCTGCCATATTCATTCAGAATTAGACAAAAGAAGCACCCACAGTATGGTATTCTTTGATGATGAAGTATTTTTATTTTACAAAAAGAACCATTGATATTTTATATTTTCTACGGTACTTGTGTGACATGACTTGTCACTGCCTTTGGCAACTATCCAGCACTTGCTCTATGATTAAAAAAACCCCATGGATCTCAACTGGTCTACTCTCAAACAAGTTTAGGAGGTGACTATGTATGCACAGCTCGTGTCCTTTCCACTGCTTAAGTTCATTTTCCTAGAAAGCACTCTCAAAAACTCCATCCAAACTACTTACTGAATACAAATATTTAAAGTAAAGTAAAAGAAGTGAAATGATTCATATAAAAATGTAATTGCAGCAGACATTTTGCACTATTAGGTGAGAATAATTTTGAATCTATCTATTGCTTACTCTTGAAGCTATTTCTAACTAAACCTTTACTATTTGTAAAAGCATGCTGTGTTATTTTGCACTTAAAATGTATCATTTCAGTGTTTTCAATTTTTCACCTCCTATTATATATAGTTCAAAATATGACAGAAACTATTCAACATCCTAGCACATCTGTTTTATTATCCAAAGCTGAATGGATTGGATCCTGCCCTTATTTTTTTTAAAAAAATGCTTGCTAGACATGCTAGTGTGGTTTTGGCATTCAGTTAACAAACCAAATCTTAAAATCCTATGTTTAAATGGAAGACGCGCACAATTTTATTTAGGCTGATTCGAATTTCAGAATATTAATGTATTAAGAAACTATAAGAAGCTGCTTTAAGAATATATATGATCCTTAAAAAAACAACATTTTGGCTAGAAAAGTGATCAGCATTCAAATATGAACATCTAGCTTATATTAATTGCACAGAGCTGATTGTAATGATTTTTCAAATAAAATTAAATGTTTTTTATTCATAAAAGGCATATGTTTCACTGCCTCCTTAAGGAGGCATATCTGGGATTAATAACACAAAAGAATTTGAGACTTTTTAGTCTGCTTTATCATTTGCATACTAAAATAATAAACTAGTAAAATTAATTTCTGCTATTAAACCATGCTTTTCAAGGGGTCTTTGAATAGATATAAAATAGCAATGACATTATTATAATGCAGCCATCTATAAGCCTACAAGTACAAGCAAAATAAGTTAATTGTCTTTCCTCATGCCAACAGTTAATCAGCAAATCTTGTAAAGGCTTATTTTTAAACTGGAAAACAAACCAACCAATGACCTAATTATTATTTGAAGTAGAAAGCTTGGAAAAAGTCACACAATTTCATATTTAATTCAGGGCTTACTGTTACTTCTAATGCTCTTAAGAGTATTACATGTTACAGAATAGTATAATGTAATACCCACACTTCTTTATTACATAATTTTAATGGACATTAGCAAGTATGCTACAGACCCACATCTACAAAATAACTGGCTATATTACAATGAACTGAGGGCAAGAAAAAACAACATCCCCAAATGTCTAATACAGTACTGAAGTGAGCCAAAATATTTATATTACTAAAGGTATGCCTGTCTGGACATATATATTACTATATTTATTTCAAATGTATCAAAATTATGAGCAGAATTTCAAGAGCATTAATATCAATGTATGACAAATATATATAAACAGCACAATACAAATTTATTTCTGTTAGCCATGTAACATTACTGTAAGAGTTGGTTCCTAATAAACGTAAGCTAAGCAATAATTACTGTTACCTTGAAAGGTACAAAATACATTCTCAAAATTTCTTCTAATAATTATTTTTAAGGCCATCTCTGATCAGTTATCATCCACTAGAATACGCTTAGGGTTCCCCCTCTTCAACATTGTCACTGCATTTGGGTTAAAGTGTGTGCAACATTCCCATTTGCTGTAACAAAACAAGACTGTTCTGTAATGCTAGTAATCTGTTGATTTAGAGATAATCATTTAACTGGGGATGTAAAGTCTCCTGATATTTGAGATTAAACTCATTCAGCATAGAGAACAGCAAATTCACCATATTGGGTTTTATAACAACTCCTTCAGTTATTGTGCTACTCTTTATAATGACCATTTCTTTCAATATGGCATCCTTTAAAACGTTTAGTGCATAAATACCTTTCATTCACTACTTGTCAGCATAAACCGCTATACAGATTCTAATTAATCGCTGCATGCAAGCATTCATTCTGCAAATTGCCAAAACTATCTTTCCCACAACAAACGTTTCAAAATATCACTTTGCGATATTCCGAGTGGTTTTCATACTTCTGAGAATGCTCTGCTTCGTGAAATAAAGTTGCACTGCACTGTAGTTCAAGCTGACTTCAACAATTATTTATTGTATTGCTAAAACTTCCTATTGTAACACTGCCACCTAAATTGACTGGCCTTCGTATAACTTTAAATATGGCCTAATGTTTATCTTCCACTCTGTCAAACTGTCAGGTTTCTTTTTGCTACTGTGTAACATAATATCTGCCAGAAAAAAGGAGCATTAACCCTTAATAGCTTTCCTTAATGAAAGTAGTCCTCAAATGCAACATTAAATGTGATTCTATGTATGTGTGTGTGTATGTATGTGTGTGTGTATATATATATACACACATACACATATGATTCAGGCAAGCTTTATAGACTTAGCAGCAGATTAAGCAGTTATGTTATATAAAAGACTAAGTAGTTAAAAATACTAATGAGAATGAAGGTTGAAATATATTTAGATTATAGAGTATTTTTTGGGGGCGGGGGGGAAATGCTGCAAGTGTTCTTTTTGTGTGCTATAAATGGTGAGAGCTAGCTTTTGGCCTGTTGCAAAACAAGAGCCAGAAACTGTGGCAATGCCTTGACTTTAACTGTAAACTACAATGATGAGAGCTGACTTTATAAGATACGTTTGAACTCTTATGAGCCTTTAAAGAGGAAAAATACTTAATTGTAAAATGTGTAAATGATGAGCACCAAACTCATGTTCCTAAACATACAGCAGTTTATATACCTCCCTATATTCATGTTTCTGAAAATGAAAGTGCAACATGCAAGCAGGACCACTTCAGCGCCTTACTAATCCCTTACAATAATGTTTTACTCTATGAATTAAGATATATTAAAAAGGGACATAGAACATTCTGATTACAACATTCTAAAGCAGAGAAGTATTTACATTGTTGCATTTTAAGGGCTGCTGTGAAAGCCGATTTTGAGCTATTCAAGGACCACAATAATAACGCTTTTAAAATTCCTCACTGGGATGCAATGTAGTCCTTTTGATGGAAAGACTGTCTTTCTCATTCGGCAGAAATAAATCCATTCATTTGATCATGTAGTCATTGAGGGCAATACAAAACAAACCAAGTGTGAGAAATTCTATGTGATGAAGTAAACAAAACAAAACCCCAAAAAAGAAAAAAAGAGAAAAAAACATTTCCATGACAAAAAGATTCTTTGTTCTTAATCTACACACCATATGCAAGCGTTTCTTTTTAGCATATCTCCTGTTCTAATCTTGGGTGACATGGCTACATAGATAAGAGATGCTAAGCAACACCCCCCTCCCAAAAGAAAAACCCTCCAAGCTGAACAATTTTCTTCAATTTATTAACTCACCAGAAGTACCATAATGAGGCACTTTTCCCCCCTCGTTAACTTTTTTAAATATTCAATGTTGTCTAAATTCTTAAACCAAGGACCCTCCCAAACCACTACAGATTTAAATAACAATGCTCTATATTTATTAAAGAAATGCTGATTTGCCTACATTGAAGTATTTTGAAACCAAAGGAAGTGTTAATAACAAAACAAGAAATGTGTAATTTTATACTTCTGCTGTGACCCAGGGAACTTGTTTCGCTGCCTATCCATTATTGCCATTACCCAAGAAGCTTTTCACATTACTAGCTGCAGCAGCCAACCCCTTCCACTTCTGTTTTTGGAGTCCTTTTAGGAAAAGGAGGTGATAGGAATGGGAGCCCTGAGCATTTGGCAATCTAGCATGTGCTTACGAAACCAAGCCACACTGCCCTAAGCTTAAAGGCTGCAAAGTTTATTTAAAATAGTGAAAAATCCTTTGTTGCCAACTTCTTCTTCCCCCTCAGAACAAACTCCTTTTCCAATATGTGCTTTTTCTTGGGCAAAATAAAAAGGAAGAAGGCTGGATGAAGTAATTATTGATCAGCAGGGAGGGGAAGAAATTTATTTCCAACCACGATTTTTCCTGATTACGCTGGAAATGTAGGCGATAACTTTATGAGGGAAAGGATGAAAAACTTCCTAGTGGATTTTGTCTTCCCCTCCAGAAGAAAAAAAGAAGTGGCAAATTTTTTAAATGCCACACGGTGAATATAGTTACAAAGTGATCCTAACACATTCGGAAATGACAGCTCAAGAAAATAAGTTTGACCAGCTGCAAACCACAGAGATTTGGAAATCGGAGGCTACTTGTTTCACTAGCACTTTGGGCAAGGCTGAGAGCGCCCTTTGGCACGCAGGGGCCCCCCAAAAAACCCCTTTTTCAACCTTGTGAGGAAGGGGAAAAGAAGATGGCAATTCCTACTCCAACCTCGACGCCATGGGCACCTTCCTGGCAATAGAGATGGCAAGGGAAGGGAAGGCGGGAGTAGAGACCTAAGCTCTGGCCCTGAGGGCAGGCAACTGATCCACCTCAGGCCTGCCTCCCTCACGCCCAGGAGAGACATCTTCTCCCTTTGACCCTCTCCAGAAAGGAACCACCACCGCCACCCGCCCCTCTCGCCGCGGCCTGTTCCTTTGAAGGAAGCCGCAGGAAGTCATAGGCGCAGATAGCGATCTTCTCCCAAGCCCTCGGCCTGGCCACCTTCTCTGGGCGTCGGAGGGAGGAGCCTCGGGGGCCTCGACGAAGCCCCCTCTCGCCCACCAGTTCCCAAGGGCCAGGGGGGGAAAACTGAGGGGCTTACTTCAGAGTAAAACACGGTTAGGACCGGGGGGGGGAGATGGGGTTGTCCCCCCCTCCCCCTCCATACACACACAGAGGCCTCGTGGGGGTTTATTTGTTGCCAAGGGGGACGCGACAGCTGCCGCCGCCGTCAGGGCCGCTTCCGGGCGGTTACACCAGCGGAGCCCAAAGTCTGTAGTTTGCAGCCTCGGCGGTTGGTCGAAACGGGGTGAAAAAAGCTCTTATTAACTTTTCGCTTTGGAGAAAGCGGCTGGGTTTCTTCCGTCCCAAACTCCACATCGTGAAGCCCGAGAAGGCGAGCCTGGGCTGGGCGTGGGGGACTCTGCCCGTTCGCCCCCCCCACCCCCGTCGAAGTGTCTCCCTCCGAAGCCCAGCCATAATGCAAGCGGCCGGGCGCACGCAACAGGGCCAGCCAGGGCTTCGCGCGAAGGGAGGGAAGCTCGGCAAGGTGGAGGCGGAGGGAGGGAGGGAGGGAAGCCGGAAGAAACTTGGGCCGAGCGGCTGAACTTTCCTGCCCGACGCCGGCTGCACTTTCTGCCGCCTCACGCTTCCCAAGGAGGGGGGCGGGCGGCATCGTTTCTCCGCTGAGCTCTCCCAGAAGCAAGCGCAGGATCAGGAAGCGCACAGCCCTCCACTCCAGCCCTCCCTAGCCCCGGGGCTGCTGCGCCCTCCGGCTTACCCTGCTCCGAAAGCACCTCGGCTTGCAGCTCCTCGTCCGATCTGAGATGCTGGGGCTTGGCTTGCTTTCGCCGAGACATGCTGCTAACTGAGGCGTCTTCTGGTGCCTGCTTTTTGCAGAGACATCGGCGAGAGGTGGAGCGCTGGGGTGGTTGGGGGGGAGGGGGTGTGGAGGGGCGATTAGGTAGGTGGGGGGAGGAGGAGGAGGAGGAGGAGGAGGGCTTGGTGGCGAGGGGAAAGTCGAGTTGGCGTCGGGCGGGCCACCCCTTCCTCCGGATTTCGGCGCCGATCAATTAAGAGCAGCAGCAGCAGCAGCAACTCCCCCCTTCCCGGCGACAAACTCACGAAGCGCCCGAGCAAGTAGCGGCGGCGGCGGCGGCGGCTGAGCCGGGCGGGGGCTCCGCGGGTCTGTGCTGGGTGCGCGGCCGGCTGCGCGCCTCGCGCACGGGGCTCAGTAATTATGATTGTGAATAATGCATGGCGATTAATGATGCCGGGGGCGAGCGCGGATTGGCCCGGCTCCAGCGGGCTCGGGCTGCATATGTAAATGAGGGAGGGCGCTCAGCAATTAGCCGCCTCAGTCCGCCCAAGGATGCGTCTGCCCGGCACCAGCAGCGCCTCCTGCGAGAGGCACCGACTGCAGAGGTGGCGGCGGCGGCGGCGGCGGCGGCAAGCGGGGACACGGGCAGCGGCAGCAGCAGCAGCAGCGCAGCGCGCACCCCGCACGGGGCTCTCTCTCTCTCGGCGTGTGCATTCACTTTACACCACATAGGTGCCCCGGCTTCCCGGCTGCGGGGAGGGCATGTTCTCTCGCGGCTTTTCCGCCCCTTCCTTTCAAACAAAATTACATCACTCTGTGTCTTTTTTCCAGGTTCCTCTTTACCCAGAAGTTAGTCTGCATCGCCTTTAAGTTTCTTTCTTCTTCCTGCTGCGGCGCCTGGCTAACGTATTTTTGTCGAGAGATTCTTTTTATAAAAAAGAAAGGAGGAAACAAAACAGAGCGAGCGAGCAACTTTTGCCTGTGTTTGTTTTCTGCTCTTCGCTGCCTCGTCCTGCGATCGCTGGCTGCCTGCGCTGACTTCGGCTTCTCTGGGGAGGGGGGCGTTGTTTGGAGATCGGGGAGGGGGTCGAGCAGCCCCAGTCGAGGACTCCGGGCTGGGGAGTTTTGTCTTTCACCTCTCGCCTTCTCTCCCCCTCCTTCTTTGTCTTGCAGCGTCCCTCTCTTCTTCGCTCACGCCAACTAGAGCCGCTCGGCCGGTGCCTCCTTTGCTGGAAGATCGCCGCCGGTGGCCACTTCCTGTTGTCCGGTGCTCGGAAGTTTTCTGTTCTCTCCGGCTCCGGCACAGGTTGCGGTGTGACTTCCCCGCTCTTTGGGGGCGCCGCCGCCGCTCCTCCTCCTCCCCACTTGCTCCCGTCTCCCTTCTCCCGAGTCGCTGCGCCCTCGGTGCCAAAGGATCTCGGTTTTGTTTGCAAAGAGAGAGAGAGAGAAAATCCTTGGTCGCCGGCAAGGGGGGGGGGTGTGGTGGGGGGAAGGTGGGGAAAACCCACCACCGGCGACCCCCAGCGAGGCTTGGGAGGGGGAGCGAGGGTTGGGCTGCCGCGGGGGAGGTGGGTATTCCCTGGCCGCCTCCCCCGCCTCTTCCTCCTCCTCCTCCTCCTCCTCCTCGCACTTTCCTCGATTGGGCGGCAGCCTGCCTTGGCACCCGGCGCTCGCCAATCGATGCCTCCCCCTGCGCGGGAGAAGGAGGACTGCGCGCCGCCAGGGCGTCGCGGGTTGCGGCGGAGAGAAACTTTCAAGTTGGGCAGCGGCAACGGCGGCGGCGGGGCTCCGCCTCCTCCTCCTCCTTCCTGCTGCTGCCCCCTCGCCGCCGACGCCGGACGAGCAGCTCCCGGACGCCACCGAGGGCGCCTCTCCGCAGCAAACACTTGTCCACACCGGTGGCTTCTCTCCCCCCCCCCCGCCAGACTCCCTCTCTCCTTCTCTTTTGTTTTCCCCAAGAGAGAGGAATCTCCCCCCTCGATTCTCTCCTGGGATTTCCTCCCAGTTTCTCAACTCCAGTCCTCCTTCGCGACCGGGGGGGGGGGCGTGGGCGTGGGGCTGGGCGCTCCGCTCCTGATCCACCCCGAAGTGTGAAACTCAGCCACAAGTTGGGCACGAAAGACTTCCCACGACGGCGCCCATCGCTAGGATGTCCCACGGACCTACTCGCCGCCTCCAATCTTGGCATCAACCTCCCGCCATCCTTTCTTTTTGTTTTCTTCTCCATTTTCCCCACTGACTCTCTCTCTCTCTCTCTCCTCGCCCCCCCCCTCAAGTTTTGCCATCCGAGCTAGATTTCGCTGCTGCTTTTGCTGCCTTTAGGCTCCGTATCATCTCCGGCAAAGGCTTTGGTCTCGGGCTTGCAGGCGCCCACCTTGCGGAAACAGGGGAAAGGCGAGGCGCGGGGGATTTGGGGGAAAGGGCTTTCCTCCACTTCCTCCCCCCTCTCTCTTGCACTAGGCCCCCTCCTTTCACGTAATCCCTCCATCCTCAGCCTTTAAGGACATCCACAGCTCGGCTTCTCTTGGGGAAACAGCGCTTGTTAGGGAAACTTTTCCACGCTGCGTTCAGCGGAACCAGCGCCGTTCCTACGGAGCGCTTCTCCTCCGTTGCGCCGGCTTCCCTTCCCTTTCTGTTCCGTTTGTTGCGAAACAAAACAAAACAAAAAAGTTTAGACAATCCCGGCAATCTGATTTAATTTCTTTTCTCAATCTCTCCCGGTAATCTGAATTTTTTCTCATTCTCTCTCCCTCTAAAACACTACAACTAGACCTTTTCGCATCGTTTTTAATAGTCGAAGTTTTTGAACTAAAAACAAAACAAAACCCGGAAAGGGCTAAACGAATATATTCCCCCAAAACAACCCTCCACCTGGATCGAGACTTTATACACCACGAAAGCAAACCCAGAGAGCATTTTCTGCTCATTCTCCCCCGAGACTTTTATTTACTTTTTCTTGCTATTTGTTTTGAGTTTCTCTTATTTATTTATTTTCTCCCTTGCCTTCCTCCTTCTTCTCTCCCTCGTTTGCCTTTCTGACTTCTCTCCAGGAAGACTTGGAGTGGTTCAAGGCAGCTGGGAAGTTTTGCCGGCTCGGCTGGGTCCTCTGCCAGCAGAGAACTGGGGAGGGGAGGGGGAGACGAGAAAGGACGAGAGATGCAGCTCGGCAAGAATCGGAGTTTGCTGGGGGTTGTGTGAACGTTTTCCCCACAAGTAGACTCCTTTTCAGGACCCCCTGCGTATGTGCAAAAGTGGGGCAGAAAGGAATAGGTCCAGGGGACCGGCAGCGACTGCTGCTATAGAAACCTTCCGGCCGGGAATTAAAACCCAGGCGGGTCCGAGATCTTCCTTTTCTTTTTGGCGTGTTGGCATTTCTTCAGAAGTGCAAAAGGCCAGTTATTTAGTTTGGCTGGGATCCTAAGCACATTTACTTGAAAGTAAACGCCCGCTGGATCCGAGGGAGCTCGGTTTCCAGTTCGCGCCTGCCTAGGGATCTTCTGTGCCTTCCAAGAAAATGTACCTAAAGCATCTTCACCCGATCAGATTTAGATAGCTATATCTGCCTATAGAAATATAATTTCAGTTTCAATCCGGTCGTCACCTGCGAAGCAATTTCTCGGAAGCTTGCCCACCATCCCAAACCATGGTTTTTGTACGTGGATTCAAATAAAATATACTTCTAAAAAACATGTAATATATGAGAGTTGTCTAAAAGCTTACTTTCGCTTCTTGAAAATCCCCAACACATACACTACGAGAGATTTTGTGGGATGGGAAAGGATCTCTAAGGGGGAAACGAAAAGGGGGGGAAAGAGCCACTTAGGGATGTTTAATGACCAGCCGGCCTTAAGAAGGCATCGTTACCAGATTTGTATCTCCGGTATTTGCATAGCACTGCATCTCACATCTTTTCCGGTTTTGTTTTAAACACACACACGTTGTTGGTGGTTATTTAATGCGGGCCGGGGGAGATAGGTAGGGGCGTGTGTGTGTATTCTGGGAGTCGAAGGACTTCTGTAAGTTCTTGCTTTAAAGGCAAAATAATACCAACACTTCTCCTCTGCCTGTGTGGAAGTGGGTCACCAGAGGAAAGCCTTTAATGGAAGGGTCGCTCATCCTCTTTACTTCACACCTGCTTGCGCGCTGCCACCCCCCACCCCAAAATCTTTCCCCCGATCCGGCGGAGAGAGGACCGACATTTGTCCAATCCGGTGGCTCCCAATTTTGGAGGTTCCGCTTTCTCCCTGAGGGCTGTAGTTTAAGGGAGAAACAATCAGGATGTGGAGAATCGAAACCGCACCAATTCTACTCACGCTACAAACACTTTCTCTCTCTGTCACGTAAGAAAGTTTTCTGTAGCCCTATCCTAAAACCTTCAAGCCGAAATAAAGGAAGTGAAACATGGGGCGATATACAGAGGCACTTTAGATAGCAGGTTAACTGATCTATGTGTGGATTGCAGCACAAACGTCGAGATATTAAAATAATAATAATAATAACCTATAAATCCAAAAATCAAGAACGTGTGGATACAATTCCAGCCATTTTACTCCTCGCCCTACTGGTAGTACAGAAACCTTATAATATTTTAATACATAATAGTGGGTGGTGCGTGGAGGGGGGGCATAATCAAACACCAACTTGCCTTCCCCCCTCCCCCTGTAATTAAATCTAATTTGTTAATTGCCCTTCCCTCCGCAATGGTGTTTTCATCTGAAAGGAAGGCACGCAATCATTTTGTCTGCTTGATAATAATATTTTTCCAATTAGTACTGTATTTTGTTATAACATTAATGGGATACACAATTATGCAGGCTTCCTTTCACTCGTATCCTTGAGAAGTGGGGTGGTTGGTGGGGAAGGGGTGGCAGAGGAATCTGATCTGCAAGATTGATTTCTCAAGAGGAAAAAGGGTAAAGAGTTTAATCTCCCGTGTGTATATGCATATCTATATAACTCCGGACAGGGGCTCGCAAATTCGAGAAAACCTTCAAAGAGAGACTCACGTGCAGAGAAGGTGGAGCTCACACTTTCCGGGTA